CTGAAAGGAAACAATTTATTGAAATCCTTCAACAAGAGTGTTGTTCTCAATTTGACAGATGTCATGCTTAAAATAGATGAATACAAAATCCCTAAAGAAAGCCCAACACGGCAAAATTGAAAATGTTGCAGGCTCGGTTTGATTGAGCCTGTTCATGGACGGTACTGGAAAGTGCAAGTTACCGTCCACGCCCCCTAGCACCGGCTTAAGCAGAATTCAACATTTAACATGAAATGGTAAAATTTAGAATTTTGAAACATCCGCAGATGTGTTTATATGGCGGTTATCATGGAACCTTCAATGTGACACGGTAGTGCCATTCCATGAAAAGCGGCATATGGTCCCCAAGTAAAAAAAATGCGTGTGCCCTAAACGAGAAAACAATGGGCGGAACTAAATAAAATGGAATTTTAAAAGGGGATCTGAGGTTATGAAGCCTGCGTATCACAGATAGGACGTCAAAAGACAAATTTAAAAAGCAGGCAACATATCCTAAGGGTGATTCAACATTATTCAAGTAGGAATATTGGAACCACCCAACTAGAAAGTGCCAAAAAAATGAAACTAAAAATACCACAAGCACAACAATAATGTCGTGCTGAACGATCTTCAAGGATCGAAAATATAACATCATTGATTAAATGTACGGGGAGACTTTTTACAGCCGCCACACGGCACAAATAACACGGATGTTATCATAAAATAGATAAATACAAAATCCCTAATTAAAGCAAATAGGTACATAATTGAAGCTCTGTAATGCAATAAATAATTTACATGTTGATATTTATATTTATATTGATATTTAAATATTATTACAATAAGCATGTCATACATGGCACCACATTACAAAATACCGGAGGATATCAAAAAGTTCATGGAAAAATTTAAGGAAATTATTACAAGTCGCCGGATTCATATGAAAATGTGTGGCTCTATATTTTGATATTTGAGATCGTATTGAAATTTCATTTAAATAAACGAGTAATTTAAATGTATTTAATTAAAGCCATACACAACGAGGGGCCGCAACGCATGTATGTATCATTTTTGCATACAGTTCCTGATATCAAAATATCATTGACCTTTTAGGACGAATGCCCCTTTCTTAGGATGAAGTTATGTTACATAAATAGTATACTTGTAAATTTTTTGTCAGTTAATTTGGCTTAAACGGCATATTTTTAACAGAACAGAACAGAACAGAACAGATACTTTATTAAGATTTGTACATAGTACATCATCTATAATACAATAATATTTACAAGCATAACGTCAATATTATGGTAATAGCAAGTATGACATTTTCAAAATTCTTAATCTTAATTCATCTAGTAACAAGAAAATGAAATAATAAATATGTATACTACAAATTAAAAAGTAAAGACATACAAATGAGCAATAATGATGTTTAACGCTCAACATTTAACAGTGTGTTTCTCAAAGCAAGTGCTTCTTTAACAAATTTGGATAACTGAATTAATTCATATTTACTATTTGAGTTCAATAATTGTAAAAATTTATAAAACTGATGGATTTCTGGTATATTTAATTTTCAAATATTTTTTCTTAACTCTGCATAACAACGACATATACAAACAAAATGAAATTCATCTTCAATGTCTGAGGCATTACAACATAAACAATACCTTTCCTCTCTAACAATTCTATTTCTAGAATATCTGCCAGTTTTGTATTCTCAAAGACAAAGTACTCATTCTTAATCTACAGAAATAAAATCTAAAACATCTTGGCAAGATATCCAAATAAAGTTCATACTCAAAACTACATTTAACATTTTTTGTACATATACAATACAGAACTATTATCTAAGGTAGCATACCATTCCTGTTTAAAAGAATCAATAACGCGACTTCTAAATTCAAATAAAAATATTTTTTTGTCAATAATATTAACATTATCAAAAACATATGAAAATCCATAATCATTCAAAAGCTTTTTTTACATTTGAAACCCAGTTTTTATGACCATTGTTGCTATCATATACAAAGCTTGATTATATACTGTCTTAAGGATTATGTTATCAGTTTCTACAATTTTTAACCAGTATTTTATTATCCTTACAAACCTATGAATATATAAGGGATATCTTCCCAGCTCGCCGTATACACTAGCATTACAGGTGTTAGGTTGAACTCTTAATAACCTTTTACAAAATTTTAAATGTATTCTTTCTAGCTCTTTAGACTTAGTATATCCCCAGATTTCACATGAATAATTTAATATCGATGAAACAAATGAGTCAAATAACTGACATAATGTTCTGGGAGAAAGGTCAAATTCTTTCAATTTACAAAGAAGTACATTCATTGCCTTCAAAGCTTTACCACTCAGATATTCCTGATTTAATGTAAAATTGCCCGTATAATTAAAAACTGTCCCAAGATAATTAAAATCATTAACTACTTCAATATTTTGGCCATTATAGTTCCATTGCTCAGTTGGTAAAATACGACCTCTTTTTCTAAATACCATTATTTTAGTTTTTGTTGTATTTACTTTAAGGCCACAGTTGTTACAATATAAATACAAAAGATCTAATAGTTCCTGTATTTCCTCAGGGCTTTTGCCTATAATTGCCATATCATCTGCAAAAAGTAAAAGTATTAAAACAATATCATCTAGTATTAAACCTGAGTCGGGATTGTTTTGAAGATACAATTCGATGTCTTCTACAAAAATTGAAAATAGTAGAGGGGACATTACCTCCCCTTGACGAAGACCAACAGCATATTGGAAATATTCAGAATAACTTGAACAAAGTTTAACACAAGACTTAATTTTCTGGTACATATCACGAACAATTCTCAATAATTTACCCTGTATTCCAAAATATACATTTTTAACCATAAACCATTTCTATCAATGGAATCAAAACACTTCATCATATCAACAAATATAACATATAATCTTTTATTTTCATTTAAATATTTTTCAACTAATGACATAAGTACAAATATAGCATCTACAGTAGACCTTCCTTTACGGAATCCGAATTGAGCATCCGAAATAGTGTTATGTTCGTTACAAAATTTCTCAATTCGATTATTAATAACAGTAGTAAACAATTTTGACATACAACTAACAAGAGTAATACCTCTGTAATTATTTACGTCATCGTGACAACCTTTTTTATGTAAAGGGATTATAATACCCTCTGTCCATTTCTCGGGGAAATAACCCGAATCTAAAATACCATTAAATAAATCACAAATATGAGCCGATAAAATATCTATACTTTCAATAAAATACTCGTTTAATAAGCAGTCGCTACCATACGCTTTGTTACGCTTTAGTGATTTTACAGCAGTTAAAATTTCACAAACTGTAATTGGCTGGTCTAATTCTGGAAAAATATCATTTGACTTCATAAAATCATTATTATGACAAAACTGATTAGCCTCCTCATTGCAACAAGCAAATAAGTCGTTACTTATATTAGAAAAATATTCTTTAAATTGTTCAATTGTAATATTTTTTCCAAAATTGTTCGATTTCTTTTTAAAATATTTCCAAAAATCTCTAGGTTTACCTTTCTTTAAATTTTCTCTATCTCAGACATTTTCTTTCTGTAATGTAAGCTTTTCTTTTTTCTAACAATACTTTTATAAAATGACTTATTTTCACACAACCTTATTCTAAAATAATCTGTCTTTGAGATATTAAACAACCTTAAAGACTCTAAATACTTACTACGTGCATTCCTACATTCTACATCAAACCAATCAGCATGCTTAATACAACTTTCTTCTTCGAAACAATGAACATTTTTAAACTGACATGTTTTTGAAAATAATGGGTCACTAACATTTCGCAATACATCTGTAAAACTATTAAGTGCATTATTGACAGACTGTCGACTGTTATTGTCTAAATCATTAACAATATTATTAAATAATGGTAAATTAGCAATGACTCCTGATCTAAATTGTTGTTTATATACATCATTCCATTTGTATTTCATTTCTGTAAATATAATATCTTTATCAGGTGTATTGTTGCATGATATTTTCAATTGTAAGGGGGCATGATCGCTCCATTCATTGAATGACAATATACTAAAATTATTGATCAGTGAAAAATTGCGTTCATTACATAATAAATAGTCTATAACAGATGCCCCGTTATGTGAAATAAAAGTATGATGATTAGTGTCCCCGATACGACCGTTAACTATTCGTGAACATGAAGATTTACAAAGATCTAATAATCTTATACCATGGCTGTTATGTTTACAGTCTATTGAGGCCCTGCATGAACTATTATCGGGGTCATAATCTATATCATCAAAAACATTATTCAAAGTATCATGTATAATAAAGTCATGCTTATTTCCTACTCTACTATTGAAATCTCCAAGAATGTACACAGCCCCTAAATTGTCGTATAAAAATATATCATTTTCTAATAAATCAAACAAATCAACATTTAAAGTATTGTACGCAGGTGAGTCTGCACCCCATATATATACACCACACACATAAATATCTTCTTTAGTATTGAAAAAATTACGATCAAGTTTAAGCCAAATGATTGTATCATGGTGATTTTTTATTAATTGTATACCTTCTTTTAAATGCTCTTTAAAATACAAAATAACCCCACCACTGCATCTTCGCGCACCCCTATTTTGAAATTTTCTATAGAAATTGAATGAAATATACCCATTTAAAGAAACATTACTACTAGAATTTGTCCAAGATTCATATAAAAAACATATATCGTGACTTGAAATAATATCTACAAAGTCTTTATGAGCTTTTTTGTCAGATGTTAACCCATGCACGTTCCATGACAAGATAGCTAGCTCACCTCCGGCGCACCCCTACTCCCGGACAGGCTTACCGTCGATGAACAGCGTATCATAAGCAATCCATGACCTTTGCCCCTTCTCCCTGGCGGCCTTCATTCTTGGCACTAGTCTCCTACGCTTTTCGATCACTTCCTGTGGAAATTGTTCATACATTTTATATGGTGTGTCATTCAAATTTTTTCCACTGTCTTCTAATAAGCTCGCGGTCTTTGAAAAATGTAAATTTGGCAACTATAGTCCGGGTTTTCCCAGGAATGGGTTGACCTGGTGACCTATGAACTCGCTCGAGGCGAATACTGTCAGCTGTCTCCTTGGCAACCTTCAAGGCGTCCTGGAGGTGTTTCCGTAGTTTACGCTCGGTTACTTCCGTCGTCTCGTTACCACTGGAGTTGTCTTCCGGTACATTAGTGAAAATGAGGTTATTCCTCATTGATTGAGATTTGAGATAAGACACCTCCTCTCTCATACTGCCCCGAGCCTTTTCAAGTTCATCTACTTTACCCGCTAATATGGCTGAACTTATGTCTGTGCTTTCAATCTTATCCTCCATTTTAGCCACTCGCTCTTCTACCTTCTTTGCCCTATCATCAATAGCCACCCATATTGACTTAAGCTCTTTTTCAAAAACTAGAAATTTGTTTCTCAATCTGGTCAAAAGCACTAAGTTTTTTCTCCACTGCACATAATCTGTCACTTATTCCATTTAAACATTTTCATAATATCCTTGTTTGTTGGTTCTTTTTCATTTGACGCCATTTTCTCGGAAACTTTTGCTTTTGAATTTATGTCAAATACACTATTATCATCATCATCATATAGAACGGAATTAGTCTGGTTAAGTATGTCGCTCACAGAAATATTTATGTCTAAATCACCAGACGGGCCTCTTTGTTTAGATACCTTTCTATTGTTGATTTCTTCAACGTCATTTCCACTGCTATTTCTATTCTTCCGTTTTTTATTTCCCATACTATATAAACTTTACTTAATCATATCCATTTTCAACTATAAATCAAATCCAAAATCACTAGAAAAACAACTTTAAATCCATTTTTTCACAAATTTTTTAACCGTTTTCAAAAAAGTGCTACCATTTTGACGCATGCGCAATTAAAAATTAACGTAAGATTTTTAAACCTTAAAAAGCGTTAGTACAATATATGTGTGTTCTAACTGCGCTTTACATTGGATAATCGTGACGTTTATATTAACTATAATTTAAATATAAATATGACTGATATCATTTTTTTTACTTGTTTTATGTTTTTGCTTTCTTTCAAATGCAGGATCTTTGCTGTGTGGTAAATTCGTTTTAAAGATGTTTGACAAGTTATATGCCCGTATATAAACTGTAGCCTTCAATATAATACTTCTCTCCACGCTCGGTTTTTTTAAGGCAAACAAGTGTTTATATATCGGACCATATAACCTGTCAAAAATCCTAAAGAATAATTTGTCCTTTGGTGTCCGTTTAATTTTTTGAAAAATGGCTTGTCCTGTGAAAATATCCACTAAAAATGTTATATTGAGCAAGTATATTTTACCCTAGGAGCAGCTAAATATGTTAATTGTGAAGCATGTCCTCATGTTGTACCTCGCAAGCTTCGTAATTATTTAGAAGAATTTAACTTACTTAATAAAAATCAAGCCGGCTTTAGAAGCGGTTATTCTTGCTCAAATCATATCTTCACTTTACACGCACTTATTGAGATTCTAAAAAACGTAAACATTTTTTTGTGCTTTTATAGATTTTTCACAGTGTTTTGACAAAATTTAGAGACATGGTTTACGGCACAAATTATTATTATTTCCTTTTTGCATCAACTATTACATTAAATATGTATTATTACCACAACACAAATTACTACAGCTGCTACAACATATTATCAATACATCAGTATCATTTTTAACGTCAACAAGTTTTTTTCTCGGAATATACAGTAACCTGGGATATTTGTGTAATTGTGCATACGTAATTTATATAAAAATACACCCGCATTTTTCAGTTTGGTAAGAATAATTTATCAGCTTATGAGATGTCGGTATTTTTCTCGTGGGACTCGTTCCGAAATTGCCGCTTCGTGAGCCGCGAGGTAGTTCAAATGATTGGTTACCGATTTCTATCCGTCTGGTGCCTGGCATAGTGGTGGGAGTTGGGAGGGACATGGTGTGCAAACAAAAGGTGTCTCATAAGTCAGAAATGTCTGGCCCTTTCAGTAAATGTGACACTATAATAAACAAAACCTTTACCTTTTTATAGGAAGAAAAAAACATGATAAGAATAGAACGAATATTTTATTTTATTTATCAACATACTGTTCCAACTACAAAATTATCATACTGTACTTGACGAACAAAGAAGGGAACTATCTTACACTTGATAAAGAAAGCACCATAAAATAACAAAAATCAATAACAATACATTAACAATAAATCATATATATGACATATGACACAAAGTATGTTCATGCATACATATAACCCGGATATTGGAACGATTGTCTGTGTTGCATTGGTGACTTCTGCTGCCCGTATTGGGCAGACGACATGGTAGTAAGTGCTGAATTCGCGCTAATACCGGTAGAACCAAAATTCGTTAATGTCGTGCTCTGATTTGAAGTCTGATAAGGAATTTGATTGGCTAAATTTTGTCCCGTTAAAGGCTGACTCATAAAGTTATGACCAGCATACCCCTGAATCCAAGGATAACTCATGTAGCCTGGAATATTCTGAAATGGATATGATGTCATCACATGTCCTGTTTGCATGTATCCATATGACATCGCCGTTGTAGGAAGGAAAGACTGGACATTATTGTTCTTGTTGTCACTTACACGCCTACGCCATCTTGCTCTTTTGTTCTGGAACCAGATCTGTTTAACGAAACACAAAGGATTTTTGAAAGAAATTGATATAACATTATATGAAATGTTGTTTAAAGGTAAATAATTAAATGATTAACATCAGTTTGTTTTCAAGTTTCAACAACAAAATAATAGTAATAATAAAGGACGATAATCTGAATAACAGTACTGTTACTGTATTTCTCCGCAGAAAGACTACCAAATACGTAATCATACTTTAGTACACCAAAAAAGTTAATAAAATTGAAACAACATTGTGTATTCTAAACGGTTCCGATTTTGATGATATTGATAAATTAAAACAAATGTTTATTTTTTGTTCCTTACCTTAACCTGTTTTTCCGTGATGTTCAAATCTTTTCCAATGTTTTCCATCATTTCTGAGTCAGGGTATGGTGTTTCGTGAAATATTTTCATTAATGCCTTTACTTGTTCGTTTGTGAAGTTGGTTCTAGAGTTTTTCTTTGGCAGTTTGTTTGTCTTTTCATTTTCGTCAGCTTCATCAGTACATGCTACATTAGATGAATCTAGAAGCTCTATTTTGGTTGAATCCGTCTCCCGGCTACATAAAGAATCACCGCTAGAGGGTGCAGTTTCTGTTGAAACGTCGGCATTTGGAGGTGATCTGATTACCGGTGAATATTCTACACTTGGCGGTGGAGGGGTGTCGCTGCTTGATGTATATGGAGAGACTGATCGTTCTGTTGATATAGACATGTCACTTATAGAACTGTCAGATTCCGAATATTCTTGGTTTACATCTGAAATTTGAAAAACAAAGAACTAATTAGAAGTTGATAACAATGTCATTTATTGAATCTTATTTTTGTATGATTACTCTTATATTGGAAAATATAGATTTGTGAATTTGTTGTCATTCGGCAATATTTTTTCTCAACGTAGTTGTACTTAGTAGCAATCAATTTGCAGTAAACGTAATCAAATGTCTAACTATTTCAATGCATAAAACAGGGCTTGCAACATTTTCAATTTTGTATATTATGCGACCTTTAAGATTTCCATATAATTTTCTAAATTTAAATTTAACATCTTAATGTTTACCTGTACCGCATGACATTGTATATTCCTCCAGCGTCCTGTGTCTGAAAGACATGAAGTGAGAAGTGCTATATGGCAAGATAGAGTTATCAAGCGTTCTTTGCTCAGTCAATTCTTTTCCGAGCGTCTGACCTTTTTCATGCATGCGCATTGCAGTTTAGTGTAGCATTTCCGGTTCCTGGTCGAGTAGCTGAGACGCTAAAGCTAGAAGCTTGGTAGTTCTCCGCTTCGGTGTCGTTGCTATGTCTATTCGACGAGATTACAGGAGCTGAAAATCCAGCCTGGTGTTTGTTTTCCGTACTTAAACCAGCGTAAGGTAGTTGACGGTCGTCAGAAAATTGGAGAACCTACAAAAAATAATATATTGTTTTATGCATTTCGATGTGTTCTTTTTCTAATTACAATTAATATAACAGAACAAAACACTATATTCGAAAAACAAAGATTGCAAACTTTAGTATTTTGCAATAATTTATTGTTTTACTATTTACAGACATCTGATATCACATTGAAAAAAGAATTTTTAGCTTCTTTTACTGAGCCATTTTAACATTATTAATTTAGTACTTTTAATGTATTTGATCTTACAGAAATATATAATAAATGAATAAACATGAAACATGAGAATAGTTATCAGCAAATTGTGCATTTGAAATAATAATTGTCTGCATTTATATTCATTAACAATATGTTTTTAACATATATATCAATTTGAATCAGTTTGCTCGATTTTAGTCTAGTCAATATCTATCAATATTTCAGATTAAATTAATGTAATATACTTTCTTCCTGTCGTTCTGTTCTTAAAAATTTAATTTTAAATATCTTACGTTTTCAATCATTTTCTCCTCTTTTAGTTTTTCAGATTTCACAGCTTCTACAGGTTATTGTTTTGTTAACTTGTTTTCCTTATCAAATTTGATTTGTGCGAATTTGTTGAATAAATTTTGTCTTTATACATGATATTATGTCTCAAATTTGACATAACTCAAAGTACTTAATTACCTCGACATAATCATCCAGACAAACTGCAAACAAATTAAACTTATCAACTCGCCATTGATGAATTTAACTCACTCGCTTATCCAATCAAACTTTTGATGTCAGTCAACAATTGAAGCTTTTATTATTCACACATTACCAATTACTGACTAATTGTAATAAATTACGACATTAACTTTTCACTATGAAAATATGTGTATAAATGATTTCCTTCTGACTTACACAAGATTGCAATATATTTTATTTGGAAACTTGTTCACGTAGCGTATCGTATTATGTCAGACCATAAACATTGAAAATATCAAACATAAACAGTTAAGATATCAATATCATAAAGTACCAATCTCCACGCAGTGATCTCCCCTTAATTCTTCGGCATAGATCTCTGCCACCAAGGTCCCGATATATCAGAATTTCTGATATACTATATTTTTTTCAAAAATTGTTTTATTTACTGCTTTTATCTATCAGTTAAGTTTTTTCTCATTGATTAAACAATGTTTATGGATAAATAAATAAATAATATGAATTTATTTAGAAATAATTTTAAAATTATGAGAATATTTTCTACCGAGACAATATTTTGATATTTTATATTTTTTAGCTTTTGAATTTATTTTTCGTTATTTTGTACACTTTTGATATTTTTTTGATAAACTATATCGAACGTAGGCACTAAAAGTTAAAAATAAAACAGAAAGAGAAAAATGACGTTAGATTTTCTATGTAACGGTCGATATTTACATTTGAATTTCGACGTTACGTCATGTGACTTTCATCATCATGTGACGTCTTTGAAGGCAGTGATTACAATTCTGCCAAGGGAGGTAATCACTGTGAGGAGTTTGATAAAGTACATCGTAAAAATGATACAATTTTAATAGACAATAACATCAATAAACAATAAAAGATTGTGGGATACGTACACGGTCAACGGTTCCAAAAATGTAAATTATGATAATTACTGGAATATGACACTGAAAATTTGCATTTTAATTTAAAACGGGAGATACTATAATTTAATACACTTGTTACTATATATAGTAACAAAATCGCCTATGATTTCATCTGATTATGAGTATCACGTGACCTATTATGAGTTTGCGGCCCGGGGCCGAGAACTAGTTATCAGCCCGCCGAACATGTACACGCGCACAAACTGAAACAGTGACGTCATATTTTACGTCATCAAACAGGAGAGCTTAAGATTTCGTACAAACACAGTTTTATTATTATTGAAATTTTAAGAAATAATACGACAAATTTTTCCGGAAAAAAATGAAAATAAAACTTGCTTCTAGATCCTACAGTAGTGTACTTTAAAGTTTTAACACACAAAAAGTAAACAACAGAAGTTACTAAGAGGTTAATACACGGCAGGAGAGGGCCGGAAGGTGATAATCGCAAAATGAATAATGGACCCGAGGGCCATTATTCATTCAGGGCCGATTATCACCTTCCGGCCCTACTCTGACGTGTATTAATGTCTTTAATACACTTGGTAGATCTAATAGTAGCATTTTTTTTTTAAAAAAAACAACAACAACAAATACTGTGAAGTTCTTTCGTTGAAATTCTTGTCTACAGCACTCTTCTACTGTTCTGTACAGAGATGTTTAGAGTCTACTGTTTGTGTGTTCAAAGCAGTAGAATCTAGAAGCAAGTTTTATTTTCTTTTTTTTTTTTCGGAATGAATTTGTCGTATTATTTCTTCAAATTTCAATAGTTACAAAAATGTGTTTGTACTAAATACGCTTAAGCTCTCATAAAAATAAAGCGTTTCGTGCTGATAACCTACTTTCACTTTTACAGTTAACTGTTTGATGACGTTAAATATGACGTCATTGTTTCAGTTTGTGAACGTGCACATGTTCTGCGGGCTGATAACTAGTTCTCGGCCCTGGCCCGCAAACTCATATTAGGTCACGTGACACTCATAATCAGTTGAAATCATAGGCAATTTTGTTACTATATATAGTAACAAGTGTATTAATGAACTGTTAATGAAGTCTACAGTAGAAATGCAGACAGGAATTTCAACGAAAGAAATGTCAAGGACTTAGTATTTATCAATAGAAAAAATTGCTGCTGTTAAATCTACTAAGTGTATTAAAGACATTAATACACGTCATAGTTATGCCAGAAGGTGATAATCGGCCCTGAAATGAATAATGCCCTCGGGCTGAAGCCCTCGGGGTTATTATTCATTTTGTGGTCCGATTATCACCTTCCGGCCCTACTCGGCCGTGTATTAATCTCTTAATTTTTATTCAGATATAGTATTGTCTATAGTCGGGCACATTAAAACGCTTTAACATATACATTTACATTTGTAATTAGTTGTTTGACGCTGTTGGCACATTGCAAAATTCTGACGTTGATATAAACTATAAAAAAGGCTGCTGTCAATTTATGAATTATTTTTGTCATGAATTCGATATAACTCGACATGTTGTATTGTTAGTTATAAAGATTGTTGACAGGTTATATGGCCCTATATAAACGGCTTTTTGTCATTTCTATTAAAAAACCATAACTAGGGATCAAATGTAAACATAGTAGCAAGATGGAGTTTAAATGATATTGAAAAACTCTTGGGGACCCCCCAAGTTGTGGCATGTTCGAATCCCAACTTTTTCATTAGAGTTTTCAACATTATTCATGCAGAAAAAAATAATTTTTCACCGTGAGACCAGAATACAGGACATGCTTTAGGGTGGTAAGCTATGTAACTCATTCCAGGACATTGCATTTTCTAAATGATCCCGCCATGTTTCCACGACTTACCTGTAAATCAATCTTATTAATTGGTCAATGCCAACAATTATATAACATTTACGCATATTTCGGTAATAACAGTAAATAAATTCTGTAAGGGATCTATTCGGAGGAAATTGTTTTGGAGGAAAACCTGATAATTCATACAATATAAAATTACGGTCTAAATGCAAGTGGTGTATTGCTTTGAATATTGTACATCATATCTTTAATAAGTGCTGTACAGCTAAATCCTACCGTCTCTTGATGCCTTTAGATGAACACAATGACTACCACGTCAACTTCTCACCCTGACCCCCTAATGTTTTACAGCGAACTAAAAGGACATTCTAAATACATTTTTGACCTTTCTTATTTTTCAAGAGCGTTCATTAAGTGATTCGTTGCGATGTAAGATCGTTAAGAACTAGGTCAAATGGCATTGTTCACAAGTGTTACAGACTAATACTGTCAATCATTTTGCTGACGTGGCGATTCTCTCTCTATGTTGCAGGCAAAAGTACAACTTGAACAAGTTTCACTACTTGATTGCCTCTATACAACTTGATACGCCGTATTAGTATGTATGTAAACAAAACGTTATGGTACAATACTTTATAATATAATATTAAAAAAAACATTCATATACAATGTAGGTTACTGTTTAAAGGGATATCATTCATTTAAGCATTACAACCTCCTGGAGGAATAGCCATTTATCTGAGTGAAAGGAAATATTGCAAATGACACCAACTTTTTTTACCAGGCATAACTATAATACAATTGTTTGCGTCCATGACATCAAGGCAAGTTGATTAGTACGATACATCAGTCCAAACCAGAATCCAAATCAATACTCACTGCATGGCTGTTGTCAATGTTTGATTTACATGTCATATCGCAAGACTCATTTGAAGTAATGATATGTACTTGCCGAGTCTGCAATTCTCTTGTAATTTTGTTGTGATTAATGCTTCCGAAGGATCACTTTGTTTCCAGATTTTGCAACTTTTTGGTTGGTTATAACACCTATTTTTCCAGTGCTTAGTTAAGATTAATAGAACAAATGTATACACCTATGTCTTTGATTGATAACATCATATTTTAGCTACATGAAAACTCATTTTAATTTGAAACTATTTTTCGCAAAGATATTTTAATATACGGATTAAAACTGTTACAAATCCTATATATTGATTTGATATGTAATAGAAAGAGCATCGAAACACGAGGCTATCTGATCTGTACGAGGGGGCGTAGCCCCCGAGTATAAATCAGATTGCCGAGTGTTTTGATGTTCTTTCTCTTTTGTATCATAGTAAAACATAAAAACATATTGATCTCCCTGTTGTCACAATATGAATCCCCAAACAAAGTAACCAATGAACGAGCATCTGAATATAATATTTTATCGCTTTCCCTTTCTTTGCCGTCACAATAAGTAAACCCCAGCAAAAATGAGCCAATCAATGGGCATGCTCTGGAGTGCGGGTAACTAATACCTGCACTCCAGTTAACTCACTGTGCATGTATATGTATACGATTTATCTCTGACACATTTTCAACAGAAAGATCCCCAAACTATGATACAAATATTTTATACTTCATGGATTTTGTTAGCACTTGTCACTTGTCCACAAAATAGCAGAAACTTACATGAAATAAAAAAGGACGTTATTAGTTTTGTGGTCAATTCTCCATAAGTATAACGCCAATCATTTTGTAACAAAGTTCGTTCAGTTAGACCCTTTACATAAAATGTATGTTCTTATAGCTACGTTTCGGGTCTGATATAAAATAAAGCACAACATTTTTATTAACGAATCACTGATGTACTTTCTTCAAGACAAGAGTTTATCTTCTACTTGAAATTTTAACGAGACTTGTTGAAATCCAATAAAAGGTCAATAAAATCATACTATAACATTAATAAATAGTTCTTTTTAGCATAAACAAATTATTGTTTCGATAAGAAGAAAAAAAAACACTTTCAGCAGTCGTTATCTTTTTCTTCTTCTTCTTCTGTTTTTTTAGATTAAACGACATGCAGTGCTAATTCATAAAAGGTTTAAATGCATCGAAATATAAAATGTATAAATTGATCAGAAATATGCACAGAAGGAAATATCGCGGTACGTGGGTTTTGTACCGCAGTATGTATTGCATGACGCTGCATTGCAAAATACCGATATATCGCCATATCGTTGCACTTATAAATATCACATAAAACAATCCTATCACATTGATTCTAGACATATGCCATTCAATGTTTTATGAAATCTGTAAACAATGACAAACTGCGCTACTTTATATATGCTTAAGAAAATCGTCGCGTTTTTTGTGTCCAGCTTAGAAATCTAGAAAAAGGACAATTGAATTTATTCTATGTAATTTATATTTGTTTCCTGATGTTAACAACCATCTTATATTTACAGGAGAGTATGAAAAGTACACATACAAACACAAAAGTGTATTGACATTGTTCAGTAATGTCTCTCAGCATTAAACTGTAGGCGGTTTTCCGTTCTTGACTCTTAGATGTTGTTTATTAACGAGAAATAGAAAATTGTTGTATATCTTTTACAAAGAATAAAGGCAAAGTACAAAATGTAATGTTCTGCTTTAAGCGGATATAATTGTGAGAGGTATTCACAAGACAGCCGTCGGGTGTAACAGTAATGTATAAATGCAGCAAAAGAGACCACTATCTATAATAATTCACTATGTTTATAATTGATAAGTGATGTCTTTACAGAATGATTACAGCATTAAAAAGTTCCAGGGGGTCAAAGAAACATTGTTACTTCTAAAGTGCAATTTAATTGAGCTAAAAATTGCTGTTTTTCCCCGCGCTCATTTCTCAGAATATCAGTAGTTTCACGCTGCTGGTTGTCAATTAGATGTCCAAACTGTACATTGATTTACACCTGATCACTGACCTTGTCGTGAACTATTCTAGTGTGTTTTAATTTGCAGAGCATCTCTCTATTTTCATTACCTCTCACTTTTTATCTTTGTAATCATCACTGTTTATGTCAGCATAAGATATGACAAAACTGTTTGTTCTGTTATATAAGTTATAGTTCGTCTTAAAAATATTATATAAATATATGTAAATGTATTTATGTAACCAGTAGATGTAGCAAAGGTTTAAAGTAGAGACATGGTTAATGATTCGACAGTGACGAAATTTTATTTGAGAACACCCCAGTTCGTTCGCGAGAAAGTAACACTATCGCACAACTTCTGCAAACTTTGTCTGTTTCTAAATTAAATAGGAAAATGGCTGTTATCATTTTATTCTTTCTTCCACTGTATAAAAGACACATTTTTATCACGTTTGCCATAAAAGTGGCACATGAAGACCGCCATTTTACCATGTCATAATAATAGTTCCAATATGTCGCCTTTTTATGTCAGTTGTATATTGCGAAGCATTATAGCCGAGGAGATCAGAATGATTCCAGACGTATTTACTGGATATTGAACTTCATTAGGTTAAGTGTATTTGTATATTAAGAATAATACTGGCGTAGGCAGGAATGCATACAAAATAAATGCGTTCCAATATGATTATATAGCGATATCGTGGTGTGTTCTATTGTTCTATTTCCAATTTTCTAAAAGTGCTGCCCTCAACACCGTTGTAACAGAATAAAAAATTTAAATCCAGATCGCTTATTTTGTTTAAATAATATACTATATACTACTCCGACCAGATAATTATATATTTTAAGATTTAACCGGCGGCACTTTTTGCCGCAATAGGTACTAAGTAACATTGTTGTTGTTGGTGGTGGTGGTTTTTTTGTTGTTGTTGTTGTTCTTCTTCTTATTATTATTATTATTATTATTATTATTATTATGTTTATTATTTTAGTATTACTATTATAAGCATTATTATTATTATTATTATTATTATTATTATTATTATTATTATTATTATTATGTTAATATGCAGCTTTTCTAATACTTATAGCATATTTATGACACCAAGTATATTTTGTTTTCCCAATGTCCTATTGGTTCTATTTAACGAGAATTTTACACTGAACTTAAATAATTATAATATCTGCAACAGAATAACATTTGTTGAATAAAGCCACTTTAAAACATTGTTCATTAAATGATGAAGTTAAGGCTAACAATTTAAATGGTTTTCGTTTTTATAAAGTCAAGTCTAATTTCCACATAAATCTGACCGAAAAAAACATCATTCACAAAAACAGACCTGATATGTTGTAATAAAAATAAACTGAAATAGGAATGGGTCTGGTTAATGACCCGTAGGAAGGTGGCCTCATATGGTATTTACGTTCTTAAAAAGATTTTAGACAGAAGTCGCCGCTGATAGATTTCCAGCACCGTAAAGATAGCATGCTATCAATAAAACCGTGGAATTCGTTGTCGTAAATTTACAAGGACATATGTGGTTTGTCTCAAGTTGTCAATTAAGCTTTACGACAGAGATTGGGTAACACTTCATTGTTGAATGCATTAAGTCACCATCTTAAATTTAGAGTAGCATTGTCAGTAAGATGGAGAATATGTGTTCATGTTGCGTTACTATTATTTCCTTTTTGCATCAACTATTACATTAAAATGTATTTTTACTACAACACAAATTATTACAGCTGCTTTTCAACATATTATCAATTCATCAGTATCATTTTTAATGTCAACAAGTTTTTGTCTCGGAAGGACTCGTTCCGAAATTGCCGCTTCGTGAGCCGCTAGGTAGGTAAAATGAATGGTTACCGATTTCTATCCGCCTGGCGCCTGGCATAGTGGTGGGAGTTGGGAGGTACATGGTATGCAAGCAAAAGGTGTCTCATAAGTCAGAAATGCCTGGCCCTTTCAGTAGAGGTGACACTATAATAAACAAGACCTTTACCTTTTTTAGAAAAAAGAAACATTTGATTTTGTTGACTGCAAATCGATTACTTCTTGGAGAAATACAGATACGAAAGTATCATTTTCCCAAAAAAAACAGTTATTATACGAAAATAACACTTTATTAATGACATTGTTATCAACATGTTATCAATTCTTTGTATATCATATTTCAGATATAAACCAAGAATGTTCGGAATCTGACAGCTCTACAAGTGACATGTCCATATCGACAGAACGATCAGTCTCTCCATATACATCGAGCAGCGACTCCCCTCCACCGCCAAGTGTTGAAGTTTCACCATTCATCAGATCACCTCCAAATGCCGACATTCCATCTGCACCCTCTGGTGGTGATTCTTTATGTAGGCGAGTGACGGATTCTACCAAAACAGACCTCCTAGATTCATCTAAGGTAGCATGTACTGATGAAGTTGACGAAAATAAAAAGATGAACAAACTATCAAAGAAAACCGCTAGAACTAACTTTACAAACGAACAAGTAAAGGCATTGATGAAAATATTCTACGAAACACCTTACCCTGAATCAGAAATGATGGAAAACATCGGAAAAGATTTAAATATTACCGAAAAAACAGGTTAAGGTAAGAAAACCTTTTTTTAATTCAAGCACAATTATTTAAAAAATGAACGAATTTAATACATAGTTGTTACTTCAAATATTTCAGTTTATCTATTTAATTAACTAGAAAACAAACTGATGTATATCATTTAATTGTTAACTTTTAAACAAAATTTCATATTATGTTAAGAATTCTTTATTTTTTCGTTAAACAGATCTGGTTCCAGAACAAAAGAGCAAGATGGCGTAGGCGTGTGAGTGACAACAAAAACAAAAATATCCAGTATTTTCTTCCTACAACGCCGACGATGTTACCGGCGACGACATATGGATACATGCCAACAGGAAATGTGATGACGTCATATCCATTTCAGAATATTCATGGCTATATGAGTTATTCTTGGATTCAGGGGTATGCTGGCCATAACTATATGAGTCAGTACATAACGGGACAAAATATAGCCAATCAAATTCCTAATCAGACTTCCAATCAGAGCACGGCATTAACGAATTATGATTCCAACGGTTTTAGCGCGAATTCACCTGCTCCTACCATGTCGCCTGCCCAATACAGAAAGCAGCAGAACTCACCAATCCAACACAGACAATCGTTTCAATATCCGAGTTATATGTATGCATGAACATATTTTGTATCACATGTCATATAAAAATTATATGATTTTTTGTTTATGTATTGTTATTAATATTTGTTATTTAATGGTGCTTTCCTTATCAAGTGTAAGATAATTCCCTTCCTTGTTCGAAGATACTCTTTTTTCAAGTTGTTACAGTATGACAGTATTGTTATTAAAGCGATATGTTGATAAATAAAAGAAAATGTTGTTATATCAATCATATTATGTTTGCTTTCTTTCCGACATCTCATAATCAGATAAATTTTCCTTTCCAAACTGAAGATCGCTGGTGTATTTCTATATAAATTACATACGCACAAATCATACAAATATCCCTACATATCTAAAGTAATAAACTACAGGTAACTGTATATTTCAGAAAAAAAACGAATTGGATGACGTTGAAAATAATTCTAATTTATGTATTTATAAAATTTTTAAATAGAAGCTATTATTTGTTCCGCAGAAACAATACATTATAATAGTTGATGCAAATAGGAAATTAGCCGGTTATATAATATGTATATTGATCAACTATAAGCTTAAAGACACACGAACATACACTTTGCCCTTTTTTAATTTTTATTATAACAGATTAAGTACGATTGATCCTTTTTATGGGCGGCAGTGGTAAATGAAAGCTAACGTCAAGCCCCCTATCTTCAGCTGAAGTAGTATTCATCATTTCTTCTGTTAAGAATCACGTATATCTATTTGTTGAAAAAGAATTTAAACTTAGAAATTCTATCATTTAATTATTTGTTATAATTAGAATTATTTTTGTTAATACCATTAGTAGAAACAATTTCATGTAGTCATTTATATTAACATAGTGTCTAAGTATACTGAAATTATTATATAAAGGATCTTTACCGGTTGAATTTTCTCAAATGAAGTAAAATGCCTTATTTCTATAAACTATGAACACTATTTAAGTGATATATATTTTTCAGCTGATGGTAACTTTTAATTCTTCATAATATTCTTTTGTCTCTCTGGCGAAAGAGCTATGACAAATAATGTTAAAAATACATTGTGCGGTATGCATATTTATTTTCTTGTATGCGATGACCTCAATTTGTAGAAATATCTCCTCTTTATATAAACGTATGTGTAAAACGAAAATACTAATGATGATAAAAATTATTGTCATTTTGAACATGATTGTTAATTTATAACATTTTATCAGTCATATGGTCATGTTATTATCATTACAAATGAATTAAATGTGCATCAAATATATTCTATGTTTCTTGTCTTAAAATGTGGCAAGAATCGTGGATATATCCAGTATATGTATATATTTAATCTATTATTTGTTAAATATATGTAATTTCACATAGGTTTAGAATTTTAAACATTTATCAAGTATATGTTTTGCGTTACATTTATATGAAATGATACTATACATATATAATTATGTAAGTTAAACACAACATTAATGTATTTATACTTGAAGAGTTTGTAGTTATGACCTTCTCCGATATTGTCACCGTGCTATATTAAGTAATCCATACTTATGTTTAGTAATGTCGACATGTGCACTGTTCGTTGTTTTGTATTATGCTATTATCATGTTAGCATGGGCTTATCAGCCTTATATGATTAAATTAAACTATGTTTACATTTTTTCTATTATATGTACCTTCATAAGGAAAATGTATCGATTCGTTCTTGAAGTACGATCAAGCAATGTCAATATGCAATTTGGCTTTTGAGAAGTTATTTTCTAATTTCACTTGATAATCGTAACATCAGTTAAGTTATAACATAGAATGTACTATGAATGAAGAAAAAAACACTCTGTGAAGTAACATATTGATACTGTACATGTGTAGCCTTTAAAAAGCTTAAATCAACACAATTATCAAATATAGTAATAATAATTCGTTGGGGGTTTCTGATCGTGATTTTCCTTAATCTCAGTTAAGCGTCAATGACATTGACTGCTTCTTATTACTTCTTGTCACCTTTTTGTATATTAAATGATCACAGAAGTATCTAAACTTGTTTTTTTGCATCATTTACTACGAGACATTGCTTCGATATTCTAGTACATGTAACATTGTTCTTTAATTTTTTCATAATTCTTCATATCAATATATAGTTTATAACGATATTTAATGTATGATTGAGGTCATGTATGTTTCAAGAGTACAATTATATATCTTTTTTTTAATCTTATTGTTTACCTTATTGTTTTATGTTATTTAATAGAACAAACAAACTTGTTTTTATATATATTTTTATTAATGTACATGTCCTAATAATCATCTGGTTTTTATATAACAGCATAGATTTCTTATCAACAATGAATAATTTATTCTAGTATTGATAAGCAAAGCACTTTAAATAACAAATGTCAATAACATTACAAAACAATAACACAACAAGTTTTAAATTGATGCTTAAACATAACCAGGAAATTTCAAAGGCTGTCTGTTTTGGTATGATAAATTCTGCTGCGGTAGCATCTTTCCATATTGAGCAGATGGGATCGTCGAAACAGACGGATCTGTGTTCAAAGCATAAGAAGCATCAGATTTGAATGCCGCGTCTTGATTGGCCAGTTGTTTATTCAGAGGAAAATGATTGGCTAATTTCTGTCCCAGAAGATGCTGATTCATAAAATTATGACTGGCATATCCCTGCATCCAGGGATAACTCATGTATCCATGAAAATTATTAAGAGGTGATGACATCATCATATGTCCTGTTGGCATGTATCCAAATGACGTTGCCTGTGGCATCATCGGCGTTGTTGGAAAGAAGGACTGTACGTGGTTCTTGTTGTCGTGTGTGCGTCTACGCCATCTTGCTCTTTTTTTTTTGAACCATATCTGTTTAAAAGAAGGTAAGCATTCGTAAAACTTTAAAATTACGTAAAAGTGTATGGTGTTTAAAGATTTTTTTGCAAATTAGTGTTATTTTAATTGAATATTAACTTTAACGAAATAACTTACAACAAGCGGATTTTTTCATCGACTATTGAAGGAAACGGTGGTAAAATTAATTTGTTCCAATCTAACGACCAAAAAGATGTGTACACTTAAATTAATGAGCTTTTAAAATGAGTTACAAATATATGTCTGTTTCAAGAGATACACTATTGAAATATCATACTATCTATCTACTGTCATTGATTCACTTTGATTAAATAGATAAACTGAAACATTTGAGATAAGCAACAATGTATTTATTTCGTTCATTTTTAAATAATGATGCTTTATTATTTAAAAAAAGTAAACAACAATTTTTCTTACCTTAACCTGCTTTTCGGTAATATTTAAATCTTTTCCGATGTTTTCCATCATTTCTGAGTCAGGGTATGGTGTTTCGTAGAATATTTTCAGCAGAGCCTTCACTTGTTCCTGAGTGAAGTTGGTTCTAGCGTTTTTTCCTATGCGATTTGTTATTTTCTGGAATTATCTTAACTTCAGCAACTCTCGAAGAATTTAAGCGCTCTGGTACTGAAGATTCCGTCACTCTGCTACATGAAGAATCGTCACTTGAGGATGCGTTTTCCGCCGATAAAAGGTCGGCATTTGGAGGCGATCTGATAAATGGTGAAACTTCAACACTTTGCGGTGTAGGGGAGCCGCTGCTTGATGTATATGGAGAGACTGATCGTTCTGTTGATATGGACATGTCACTTGCAGAACTGTCAGATTCCGAATATTCTTGGTTTACATCTGAAATTCATAAATAACAATGTATTTTATAGCAGTTGAAGTTTGAAGCATTACTTTTAAGACTGTGTAGATACATTTAGACAAATGCTTTATTTTATTTTTTAGTATTTATTTCAAACAGACTTAATTGAATAAATTTCATTGGGTCTGAATGATATAGAACGTATTTTTTCGTAATAATTCGTTAAAAATCTTTTCACAAAGATTCTGAATTAACATGATATCTAACCTGTATCACATGATGAAGTATATTCCCGAAGAGCGTTATGTCTAAAAGACATAAAGTGAGAAGTACTGTATGGCAACATGTGACCTTCTTGTGTTCTTTGATCGGTTGAATCATTTCCGAGCGTCTGCATATCACTTCCGAGCATGCGCGTTATGTTATGTGTAACATTTCCGGTTCCTGGTAGAACAGGTGAGACGCTTAAACAAATCGGTCGGTTGTTTTCTGCGGCGGGCAAGTGGCTCGGTCCATTTGAGGGAAGACTCAGTGTCGAATATCCTGCCTGGTATTTGTTTTCCATATTTGAACAGCCGTGAGGGGGATATCTCGGATGTTGACTACTCTCAGTAAATTGTAGATTCTACAAAAGAATAATACAGTTTTGATAAATGGAAAATATTTTCCAATTACTTTCAGTTTTAATTTGTTTATACAGAACAGAACATAAATTTTATTTGACTTAAGCCTTACAAGCTCATCGTTGTTTAACAACATGCATAGCCTTGGTATGACATGGAAGGAAATATGTACTCGTAATGATTGAGATAATATTTCCTTAACATAAATTTTAATATCAACATCAACATTTTGTTTCTGTATGTTACAATTACATTATCTAAAATATATCATACATTAAACGATTGTCAGTACTTGTAATAATGACACACAAAAAATCAGAAGCCATATGTATTCATACATGCACGAATATGATTAAATATAAAAAAAATATTGTGAATTGTCAGAAACAAAATATGTTCTTAATTTGTAATCAAATATGCACTGATTGAGAAATATTGATTATTCTCGCATTTTCATTTTTACCTCATGATTTTAATTAAACCATTTGGTGTATATTATAATATACAATTATTAAAAAAATTATACTGTATCATATTTTTATTTACATTTTGATATATAATTGACAAAGCCTTGTGTTGTATATTTGAAGATATTTGAAAATATTTGTATTCACAAAATTATCTACTTAGAATTAATGTAAAGTATTGAATTCTGTTCATTATTGTTTTATATAAAAAATACTTACGTTTTCAATCATTTTCTCTGGGTTTTTCTATTGGTTATCGTTTTTTTTATATTGTTGCTTGTTTGTTTGTCTGTCTCGCTTATTTTAATGGTACAGCTTGGAGTAAATTTTGTTTTTATACTACCATCATAATGTCTCAAATCTGACATAACTCAAACTACTTAATAACCTAGACATAAACATCCAAACAAACTGCAAACAAATTAAGTTAATCAACTCGCGATTGATGAATTTAACTCACTCGCTTTACCAATCAGACTTTTGATGTGAATCAACAATGGGGACAAATTATTCACACATTGACAATAATTGTCTAATTGTGTTTATGATGTCTGTCCTAGAGAAAAAAAATAACTTAGAATGTAAGAAATTAAATATCAATGTGACTTTTATACCAAATATAAATAAGTATATTGTATTTATAGTTTTTTCTAAACAAAAATATACTATACACAAAAAAGTAATATTTTCTCGGTTATCTGTTACTTTTACGTGATTTTTTTGTATTATACTATAGAATACAGTCCATTATATCTGCAAGTCATAAAATGGTCTTTGATTATTTACTATATTTATATCGAGCAGAATCGCGTATCAAGCATATAGTTTATCAAGCATTTAGGGTAACAGTCTTATAGCGTATCAAGCATAGAGGTTATCAAACATATAGCATATCAAGCATATAGAGCATCAGGAAAAAAAGAGTACAAAGCTTAAAGTGTAAAAGCTCATAGCGTATGAAGCATATGGCGTATCATGCAAATAGCCTATCAAGCATAAAGCGTATCAAGATTATATTGTATCAAGCTTATAGCATATCAAGCTTATAGCATATCAAGCTTATAGCGTATTAAGCATAAAGCGTATCAAGCTTATAGCGTATCAAGCTTATAGCATATCAAGCTTATAGCGTATCAAGCATATAGCGTATCAAGCTTATAGCGTATCAAGCATATAGCGTATCAAGCTTATATCCTATCAAACATATAGGTTTTTAAGCATATAGCTTATCAAGCAAATAGCGTATCAAGATTAAAGCGTATCAAGCATATAGCGTATCAAGCTTACAAAGTATCAAGCTTATAATGTATCAAGCATATAGCGCATCAAGCTTATAGCGTATCAAGCTTATAGCCTATCAAGCATATAGCGTGTCAAACTTATAGTGTATCAAGCATATAGCGTATCAAGCTTATAGCGTATCAAGCTTTTAGCGTATCAAGCTTATAACCTGTCAAGCATAAAGCCTATCAAGCAAATATCGTATCAAGCTTATAGCGTATCAAGCTTATAGCGTATCAAGCTTATAACGTTTCAAGCTTATAATGTATCAAGCTTATAGCGTATCAAGCATATAGTGTAGCAACCTTATAGCGTATCAAGCAAATAGCGTATCAAGCTTATAGCGTATCAAGCTTATAGGGTATCAAGCTTATAACGTATCAAGCATATAGCGTATCAAGCTTGTAGCGTATCAAGCATATAGCCTATCAAGTAAATAGCGTACCAAGCTTATAACATATCAAGCATTTAGCGCACAAAGCTTATAGCGTATCAAGGTTGTAGCGTATCAAGCATTTATCGTATCAAGCATTATCGTATCAAGCATGTATCGTATCGAGCATATTGCTTATGAAGCTTATAGCGTATCAAGCATATAGCGTATCAAGCTTATAGCGTATCAAGCATATAGCGTATCAAGCTTATAGCCTATCAAGCATATAGGTTTTCAAGCAAATAGCGTACCAAGCTTTCAACAAACTTTTAAAATGTATCAAAAAGCCAAAAATAATAGCCACGGGCATCAAGGGCCCCTAAAGCGTTATCACATTAACTAATCTTTTTCTTCTCAAACAAACAAAACAAAAACCCGAAGAAGGAAAATAAAAAGGAAAAAAAAAAAGAAAAGGAGGATTAGGGGGCCCCCCCCCCCCCCCCCCCCCTATAAGGCCTTTGAAAAATTACCGGCCTCCTTTATTAAAAACCCATTTTGATGCGTCCTTATATGGCCCCTTTGATAAAATCATTTATTAAAAGCCTTGGAAAAAAATAAACTTGGGTTAGGCCTTGGGTGGGGGATTAACGCTAATAAAGCCCTTGAAGTAAATAACGCCTATAAGCCCCCCCCCCCCCTGAAAAATACCAATTAAAAAATAAGGCTTGGGGGGGAAAACGTTTTTGTTATAAAAGCCCCCCTTTGAAAAATTACGCCTAAATTAAAGTCTTTGATTAAACGCCCCCGCCTATATAGCCCCTTTGAAAATTATGCCTATAAGCCCTTTTGAAATTTGCTTTATAAAAAAAGCCCTTTGATAGCTATAAAATGGGCTTTTGGGGATTTATGTTTTTTTATTAAGCCCTTTTGGTTACCGCTTTATTTGGCCCCCTTGAAAAAACCTATAATGCCCCCCTTTGATAGGCTTATACATAGCCCCCTTTTGAAAAAAATTAACCGCCCCCCCCTTAATATGGGCCCCCTTTTTTTGGAAAATTACGCCCTTTTATATAGCCCCTTTGGAAATAAAATACGCCCTTTTAAAAAAAATAGTTTGTCCCCCCCCTTTTCGATTTACCGCCCTTATAGAAGCCCCCCCCTTCAATTAGCAATAAAATGCCCCTCGGAAAATACGAAAAATAACCCAAATGGCCTTGAAATAACGGAAAAAATAAATGCTTGGAAAAATTTACCGAATAAATGCCCTTTGGGATTAAACGCTACAAAACCCTTGATACTCGCTAATTATTAAGCCCTTTTATGTGCGCCAAATGCTTTGAAAATAAATAATGGTTTTAATAAGCCCCCCCCTTGGTTAACGGTCTTATTTTGCCCTTTTTGGAAATTAAGGCCGCCTTATAAAATGCCCCTGATACGCCTTTTAAAAAAAAAAACAAGCCCCTTTTTGAAAATTTTTTTACGCTTATTATCTTGGAAAAAATACGCTTTTTAATAAAAGCCCTTTGGATTAACCCCTATTGACCCTGAAACCCCTATTAAATAAGCTTTTTGATTTACGCTAAAAAAATTTGCCCTTTGGAAAATACGCCCCTTTTAAAAATTAAAGGGTGGGCCCTACAAAGCTTTTAAAAATATTGCTTTGAAAAAAAAAAAATATTACGGCTTTTTTTAAAAATAAAGCCCCCCCTTTGAATTACATTTTGAAATAAGCCCTTGAAAAAAAACCCGTTTAAAAAAAAATAAAAAGCGGAATAACGCCGCTTTTTTATAAAAAGCCTTTGGAATTACGCCCTATAAAAAGCCCCCTTTGAAAATTAAGATAAAATTTTTTTTGGCCCCTTTTTTGAAAATTTAAGGCCCTCCTTTTTTTTTTTTATGTGCTTTTTGAAAACACGGGTTATATAGCCCTTTTGATTTAACCCGGCCCCTAAAAAGCTCCTGAAAAAAAAAAATAACCCTTTATAAGGCTTTTGATACGGCCCTAAAAAATAATGCTTTTGGGGTGTACACTATAAAGGTTTTTGAAAACCCCCGGCCTTTTTTTTTTTATTAAAATTGCTTTTTGAAATATTATGGCCTATATGCCTTTGGGGGAATAAAAAAAAAAATTACGCCTTCTTTTAAGGCTCCTTTGAAATAACATTTTTTGCCCCGCTTTTTATAAAATGCCTGGAAAATTACATTAATTATAGCCTGAAAAAAATTACCTTTTTTTGGGGTAGCTCCTTTGAAACGCCTTTAATGCCCTTTTTTGAAAAATAAAACGCCTTTTTTTAAATCCCTTTGGAAAATTTACGGTCTTTAATTTTTGCCCCCTTGAAAAATAAGTCCTATAATGGCCCCTTAAAAACCTTATAATGTTTTGGGAAAATAGGAAATATTAAAGCACTTGTGAAATTACGCCTTCATATGCCCCTTTTGAAATTAACGGCTTGTAACCTTTTGGGAAAAATAACCGCTGGTCTTATATTATGCTTTGATACGCTTTATAAAGCTTGATTATTGCCCTAAATAAAGCCTTGGGAAAAAATACCCGGTCTATAAAAGCTTGGATTACGCCCCTTTCATTTTTTTTAAATGCCCCTTTTTAAAAATAAACGCTTATTAAAAGCCCCTTGGATTATGCCCCTTATAAAGCCCCCTTGGATAATGCTATAAGCTGAAAAAATACGCCCTATAAGCCTTTGGGGATAAAGCGCGCGAGCGCGCGAGAGAGGGAGAGAGCCCCCCCCCCCATAAATATGCCCCCCGGATACCATATCTGGGCCAATGGAAAAATTAACGCCCCTTTAAAATGAGCCTTTTTTACCGGCTTTTTAAGCCTTTGGGGGGTTTCCCCTTTTTTGGCCCCTGAAAAAATCCCCCCCCTCTTTTTTAATAAAAATGCCTGAAAAAAAAAAAAAAAAAAATTGGCCCCCCCTTTTTATATGGTTTTGATAAAAAAGCGATTAGCTTTTGAAATTACGCCT